CGCTACCAGCAAGACGTTTCAGTACATTCAGTCTATCGGAGATTTGTTCTGCTATTTTAGCAATGTGACTTTTCCACGTTAGCTTTATGTCAAAAGTCATTCCGAGATATGTGAACTCATTGGTTTTTTCTATGGTAGTATCCTTGTACCTTAGAAGCGGGTTAATGCCGTGACGGGCCAAAGAAAATGTTTGGAATGCAGTTTCGCGGTGTTGATTACCATTCCATTGTTGTCGCACCAGTTTGCTAGTAGTTTAAGTGCACCATTTAGGGCACTTTCTGTCCTCTCCTAAGCGTTTTTCTTAGGGGGGCGGAATACCATAGAACAAGATCATCTGCATAAAGTAAGCACCTAATTGTAACTACTCATCATATTCATACTTTTTGTGAGCCGATACATACGACCACCTAGTTAAGGTTCCCATTTGGATAAATACCTGAAGTTGAACTCCACAAACATTGTCTTCTTCTCCGCGTCCAACTTTGGTGCGAAGTCAGATAGGATTCAATTCAGATTACAGTGACAGTAATGTCATTTAAAATGCTGGAGTAGGCGTTATATCCAGTTTTAATGCAACTTTTAGCGTTTATGACTGCATATTTCCTTCATTAGGCTTACCAGCACTTAATAATTCTTATTCTGAACAAATCTAAGGTATTCACAGTCAATGTCCAATAGCGAATCTGCCTCCTCTTGCATGTAACACGTTACTATGGTTTCAACTTTGGTCAAGTTATTGTCGCCATTGCAAAGCCACCCAATCATAAATCAATTTAACCAGAGGTAAATTTGAAGGTGTGATTGTCTCTGGTCCTAAAACCAAGTCACTAAACACGGAAGGAGTGATTAGTTCAAGACCAAAAGCGATTAAGTTTTACGATCTGTAAGCCGGTAACATAGCCAGTGAGAAGGAAAGCGCACGTTCTTGTCGTTATAGCAAAAACTTACAGCAAAATTAAATGCAAAATATGCACAGTATAGAGTAATTAGCATAGTTATTGTCGAAGGAGTTAGGAACATGGATACTTTTCAATAAAAAATTAAAATTTTTTGCTCAGTGAAAATGATTACTACTTACCTATAATTATACTGTCATTGTGGAACAAAAAAATTCAGTGCCAAATACGAGGGAGTGTCAGTTAGCCTATTGGAAAAAATGACTTCAGTACAGACTGTATAGTTGGGAAAGTAATCTACCACAAGGGGAATTTCAGACTAGGAATGAAAGATCATAGGGACAGAGCTATGCTATTGGATGGTTGAAGTTGAGCAGATATCCAATTTCCCTAATCTACGTCTGACGCACTGATTTTGGTGGAGGTATGACAACGTAGTTGGCACCCACGACTTATTGTTTAGGCACCTGGCTGAAGGTAACTCTACACGTTACAAGGTAGGAATGAGGAATAGATTATTTAACCCTTTAACGCCCTTCGGGGCTTACGGTCCTCTTTCAAAATGAACTCCATTGGTACTAGACTTATAACAGAAGGTGCTACTGGCGTTTGAAAAGTGTTCAATACGTCTACGTAGCCTTCGCCTGATGGCGACCAAAAACTACTCACGTCGGTGGTATCTGTCTGTTGTCAGACAGGCGTGAGTGGTTTTGGGTGCGCTCTCTCAAAAAAAGTAATTCTGTCGTTAAAAGTTAATAATGCTCTTTGGAGGTCCTCTAACCTTTGAAATGATAATTCAATCGAGCAAATCTCGTCCATAATGCAGTAATACTAATACTTAACTAAGACAATACTTTGTACCAGCTGTTGAATAAACAAAAGACGCGCAATCGCCATGTCTTCCTTTTGTTCCAATAGCCTTTTGCCGGCGTGTGTTGAAAAAGAATACCCTGATCTCGTGGTGCAACTTCGGTGTTTCGTTTGGCAGTGCAGGGAGTTTGTCCCGAGAGGGCAATAACTGTTTTTCCACTTCGCCTATCACCTTACCCCCCCCCCCCCAAGTACCTCACCTACCGCTAATCCACCTCTTCCCTGTTTTACCTATGACTCAGCCCTCTCCCCTTAAGTGGCTTAACAACTTACCTTTATCACATGTTAATCCCCTACATTGAGCTTTTCTACCTCTTCGACGCAAATCAGCCTCCTCCTCCTCCTCGTACTTTTCAATTTAATGTGTTCAGCCTATACCTCGGCGTTTTTCCTATATTACTTTAATGAAGTTAGCACAGGAGCTTAAAGAAGTTGAGCAAGTTGACGATGATTAAGTTGTATCTTTCTAGCGATAAATATGACGCAACAGTCAAAGCCACAGTGTCAAAGGTAGGTATGCGTAACTAATTCAGTTGGAAATATCGCTATTTCTGGGTATGGGCAATGTATACTCATACGGCAAAAAAGTCTATTAACCGGCAGTTGGCTTTCTCACTTCTGACTACTATCACCCCACTGTATACTATATTCGACTACTTCCACAGTACTCACCCCACTTTTTTCTACCTTTGTGTCTGTCTCTTTTACATTTTTGAAACACTCTTCTATTCCACTCCCTCCTCTTGACTATTTTTCACTTTGATGTTCCTTTTCCTCTGTGAAGCCTGAAGTCAAATAAAGGGTTAATGACAACTCTCAAAACGCCTGCCATTTGATATAAATAAATATATAAATAATATCGCTATTTCATTTTGGCCACAAACGTTGGTCTAAGATTACACACACAAAAAATGTAATTTGTAGTGAAATCTCTTCATGCAATTTCCCACAATAAAAGGACCCGTAGAATTAGTGCTTCTGTTGGTGACTCGCGTCCCGAAAATGAGAAAGCTTTGATTTTCATCAGCGCCACCATAATTAGATGAGCTTTACAATAGAATAGCGGTATATGTCATTTAGAGCAAACTTCGTGACTCTCCAACACTGCTGTCAATTTTACTGTGGCTTAGCGATAGTCTCCATCACGTGTTGCAATAAATTCTAGTTTTGAGCCCTCGAGCGTAACAGATGTTGATTAGCATTGTGTTGTCAACACTATGAGTTAACCAGATCTCCTGATTTATAAACTGATTATCACCTAGTAGTAATTGAATACCTATCAGTGTTATGTCAAAACCAGTGCCCTGAGGAATACAAGCAGGCTTTGCCGCGTTAAACTGCTGTGTAAGTCAACCCTTATAATCAAATTTCAGTAGGAAAATCAAGGCGTAATTGGCGATAAATGTAATTTCAGTATAGTTAAGTGGGAGCTACCAAAACATTTCTTATTAGGCCTTCAACTAGTTGCACATCTCTTTAAAGGCTGCCTGATGATCACCAAGTTGAAGAAGCTATGAGGTATCGACGACAAAAAGCAGACGACCACAGCACAAGTGATCAAGATGGGAAAGTAGGAAGTAAAGACGAGTTCATGGACGACAACTAACAAAAGTAGAGTGTGTAAGGGAAAGAAGATTCGGATGAGCTTCAAGCACAATATTAGATTTTACAGGCTAAGACTGAGTTATCGCGAAAGAACTGAATAGAAATCGCTTACCAACACACTCCAACTGAAGCCCTTGTAAACAGTTCATGTAAACGCAGCAACATATGCATGATTTTTTTTTGTCAAAACAAGGTTATTTAATACCACTCAAAAAGCACTAACAGATGACTTGGGAAGTGCTTCAAGTTCCGTTAAAATATCCATGGCATATGTGAGTAATTAAATAAAAAGTTTACTATTTAGTGAGACAAGTAAAATCAAGAACGTTTGTAAGCAGGCGCGCACACATTCACATACGCCTAATCGACAATTCCTCATTACATGAGATCAGTTTACGTGCTAAAAAACGAATTTTGTAACATGCCTCGTAATCTGAGACCCTGACACGACAGACGAGTAAGCTATTTTACGTCACCAGTACACATGGTATCGATCAGGACTCACTGGCATTTAAAACAAAAGAAGTCTTCACAATTCTGTCCATTAATTGCTTATCCTTGGGGAAAAAAAGCGAACGCGCCTGCTTCACAAAAGTTGGCATAACAGATCTTAGACATGGCATTAATCAATTGGCCGAGCGAATCATACTACGAAGGATATCGCAAAACTAACCGCTCCCACAAGAAAGATACCGTAAGCACTTTTACAATAGAAGTAACAATGGTATTATTATATCGTGATAAGGGTTTAATAATCACTGTCTGGTGAAATGGCGCTTTGCGCGTGGCAACGAGGGAAATTAGGACAGAGAGTACAGCCACAGTCATCATAGCCGTAGCTCTGTTGTGCATGGGAAGGAGTGAGGAGGAGAGAAAAGAGGATAAGAAATAAAATTACAAAATGAATGAGACAGGAAGGGGGCCAGTAAAATAACGAGAGCGCAGGCGTGATAAAGGCGAAAGGAGTCGCGGTAAGTGAAATAGATACCAATAAACAGCAATAGATTAATTATGAAAATGATGAGAAAGAAACAGGGGAGGAAGAATACACGCGACATTCACAGACACACAGGGCCAAAAAGAACTTGGGTTAGAAACAGGGACGAAGGGAAGATTAGTTACTTAATGGCCTCTGCCGACGAAAAATCCACGAAGAGGTGCGTAGATATACTCATTAAATGAGGCGACAATGGGTTGGTCACGGAGGGTAATGGCTAATTCAGTCCAGGCGTTACTCTGTCGACCTGGACCCCTATGACTCGTTTCGAGAGCTGCAATCATAACACCAATACAGAATACTCCGATCAAAGCGGCAACCTTCAGCGCAATACTCATCGAATTGGAGCTGATGGACTCCGATTGAGTGGTTCCAGTTGTACGTCCACAGCTTGTAGAAGGCTTAATTTCAGAAGAGGAGACTTCGCCATTAGGCAGTGCCCTTGTAGTTTTGCCATTGGAACTTTGAATACTATCAATAACTTGATCAATTTCGTTCACTGCTCGAAGACATTCAGAATCTCTGACCGAGGATTTGGAGATATGGTTTGTTCGTTGGCGCACCTAAAGTGTGTACAAACGAGTCATCAGTACATGCTGCATAACAGTTCTACTTATCCGTGAGAAAGTAAAAGCCCATCTGATGAATCACTAGCTGTATGAAGCTGAAGTGAGGGGATGCGGGTGTAAGAATGGGAAATATAAAATCACTTACTTCATCAACATCTGTTGATAGCGGAGTGACACTTGCAGCAGGAGCAGTGCCTACAGGAGTTACGGAAACTGGCAAAATAGTGACTGGGTCATTCGCGGTATCTTCCTTGATCGGTGTGGTGACTCCCGATTCTGGAGTTGCAAGTAGATCATTGGCAACATTCATGACTCTGTAAGCAAAAACAAGATAATGAACAATCAATTTATGGAAAGGAGGAAGATATGCTGCCATTAATATCATGCGATCAACTACTACTTAAACCGATTGTCATCATGTTGAGTAGAAGCTTGATAGTTTAGGCAGGCAATAAACAAACACCTGAACTCTGTCACTATGAAAGTGGAGATATGGTGGAAAAAAATAAACAAGACACTCAAGTACGATCTTTGTCATTATTTGCTGCAAGAAATGTGTTAATAGCTCTATGCATTGAAGCTGATTTAAAATTGTAAAAAAAGTGTGATAGTTGCTATTGATGACTCGAAACTAAATCCTAACAGTATTGAGTTAACCAGAATTTATTGCTCATCAGTGATTAAGTTTATGGGCTTTGAAGAGAAAACCCATACAAGCGACCACCCATAACTATTAGGCTCGAATTTATTCTGACCTTGAGACAGCAAACTGAGTACTATTGACTCCTTGGCCTCATTTGAACCCCTACATGAAGATGTGTTCCCTTGGTGTCAGCATACAATGGTGATGAAGCAAAATCTTCAAGTTCTAATAACACTGACCTCAAATGTGTTTTTCTATAGGATAGGAAATTCGCCATTTAAACCGATTATTCACATAGGTCGCCACGAATACCTTAAAATATTTATTATATTGGGGGAATTCCGGTTGAACAGTTTTTGCGCGAGGGGGCCATAGAGAAAATCTTTAAATTAAAGAGATTTAAAGTCATTCTTTGAAATTTGTTCACGTGTCGGGTGCTACTAGTAATAGAGTAGAGTAGGCGGTGCGTAATCGTGTTTGTTTTTTTTTCTCATCAATTTTATACCTTTGTGCACGCCAAGATCGCCTTTCCGCATGTGCGAATAGGCGGATGATACGTTGCACATGCTAAGACAACTACGCGCGCGAGCCCAGCAAGGCAAATGTAGGCTTTTGGGAGAGCGAGAAAGAGAATTGATTACTTCACGAGCCCTTCAACCAATCCGAGTTCGCCTTTTATCACCACGTGGGCTCTGCCAATTGGTTCTCGTGAAGAGGCAACTTGAGACGGTTTTTGCCACCGCTTTTGCCGCTAACTAGTCAGTGCGTACCAAGAATCCACTCGGCCTGCTTACTAAGTCCCTCTATTATATTTCCCCATACGCATAAGTCAACCAATAATTCAAAATTGAGAGCAAGTCAAATCCGCGAGAGCGAGTGCTTGCATGCTTATTCGGGATGAGAGCGCATGCAAAAACGGCGGGATGAATGCAAAACCGGAGACAACTTACGAATTCATTAGCGAACTCAACAAAGATACGACACTTGGCCTAGGAGCAATAACAAGTCACAACCACGATATAGCATGCTTGAAGAATTTATCGACGCCGGGTATATATATGTATGCACGTATAACTCGAGTATCACAGACAAACATCTTAAGGTAAAATGGGAATATGAGCGTACCCATCAGATGCCAAGGTTGCAGCTTGTTCTACGTTTGCGGCTGGAATTGGGGCTAAAAGAAAATCACAAAATTGCTTTCATCAATTGCAGAAAGCCCTCTCTGAGTTATAATCATTGATGTTGGTAGGGATTAAATTAAACGCCCCAGCTCAAATCAAGATAGTTTTTCCATCTTACTTGAACTTTTAACTGAAAAGAGGAGTAAGACGGAAGAATTATGCCTCAAGGGGAAAAGCGCGGTTTTATAGGGGCATGCAAAGCTCTGCAAGGATATATTTTAGAGAGAAACACATCAAAGTAACTAACAAGGCTCAGTTGGCATTACCGCCTCCACATTGTCCTCAGATATCGGGATGATTGACCCTAAAGCCGGCAAATATGCGACTAGTCTTCTTTATATAAGGCACACTTTTGAGCAAAATTAGATGACTAGGGATATTTTAAAATAAATCTGCGACCTGCTTTGATAGAGGATAATGATAACTATAACATGTAGAGTTAATGCACCCCAAGCACGAATCAGTTCTGTTACCTATGCTGACTATAGTCAATCATCTAGAAAGTGATAGTTGTGACCAAGTGTCAGATCGATTTAGCAGATGGCAGCTTCAGTTATGTCGTGGTCACAAATGATAGACCTCTTAATTTATGAGATAGTACAATAGACTAAGAACCACAAAATAATAGCCTAGTGAAATCCCACTCTAACTACCCAACTCTGACAAATGTGAGTAAACTCTCCCTAAAATAAAGCTCACCTGGTTTCTCATTCAATATCTCAAAAATCCGTCTTATCTTGTTTGTTTACATGTCTTCTATTAGTCATATTTCCTCACTTTTAGTAGTAAGTGATGATTATGACATCATTAAACACAGAAATTATTTAATAAGGAGAAAGCTAACCGAAATAATTTGAGTGAGGATATCTGAAAGTCGACCTCTGGGAATCTCGCTTCCTACCACTATTTATTTTGACTTAAACTTGTCAGTGCGATTGGCCATAGCATTACTCGATGCGTACTGATAAATAACGATATTGTGGCCACCGATTTAGTAGAGGTCACAACCCTATGGATCATCATTTTCACTTTACTACAAAACTTACAAAGCATAAGAAACTGCCCGTTTTAGACTAGATATGCCCCATTTAAAACTAAAACCAAACAAAAAATCTTACGTCGTTTGACAGGATCGCTCATTGGATAAGAACCGTCTTCAGCAGTGCGGATTCGAGCAGGAAGAGTAGATCTTCCAGTGAATTGCTCAAATTCACCCTCGTGACTCTTTGGACGTCTCAGGCTCGAAACCCTACAAAGAAACAAAGAATAAAACATTTTTAGTCCAATATCCTCGTATGCAAATGGATCAGTTGATAAAGCCAGCCTAAAAATGTCAAAGCTAATACTTCCTGAATCAATCCATTCACAAGACGCGACATCACCGAAACTAAACTTCGCTTGCATCCACAGCCGGACTTTGAAAGCCTAAAAATGGACTCTAGGCATAGATCGCATAATATACAACTCGATATCCAGGAAAATACCATTTCTCTTGTAAATAAATTATTGCAAACGGGGCTGCGCGATAGACTAACCTCCACGTGGTGCACCCTGGGCAACGTATACTCACTTCAAACTACCACAACCCCATTGGTAAGTCATATTCGACCCCTTCCACAGTACTTATCTTACCTATTCTCTGCCTTTGTGCCTGTCTGTCAGTCTCTTATACATCTGTGAATCATATTTCTGTCCCCTCTCTCGACTTTTGTCACTTTGATATCCCTCCTCTATGTAAAGCCCGAAGTCAATTAAGGACTAAAGATAACTATCAAAACACCTGCCATTTGAGATAAATAAATTATCGCAAACGAAAACAAATAATTTTGTCGCCGACATTTTAATAAAGCTTACCTCACAAAGGAGGGTTGGGGAAGTGATTCAGAGGAATTGGCAATCGATTTCAGTTCCATTTGGGATTTACCACTAAAACAGAGCGATAAAGGGGGTAAATAAATATGTTGTAAATAGTCTATTAGAGATAAAGCGAAAGATGACTTACACAAATCGATAGGAATGACTTCTACGAAATAGACCGTGGATAGATTTTGTAGTCTTAGCTTCGCTGGCCTGCTTTAAACTAAGAGGTAAAATAAATAACAAATAATAACAATAATTTCGACTTCCCAAGTAAACTTATTGAATACGTGAATTAGAACTCGGATGATTATCAACAAATAGATGAGGTATTCTAATTAGCATTGACAACAAGTTTAACAATTTTGACAGGAAATAAATGCTAAACTTACATTCCCCTCAAGAAAAAAAGAAGCTTTCGAAAATATACACGTATATTCAAATTGTAATGTCTTGGAAATTAAGCAGTCAAATATTGCAACACTACCAACAAGTGACATTTGAACCAATTAAGCTTTATAAGTCCAAACAGTGAGATATTGAGTAAAAACAAAGGCATCAATCACTCTTGCTAAACCACCATTATAGCAGACCTAAGGCCATACAATATTGATCAATGTCCCAATGCCTTACCTATTGTATGATAAAAAGCTTTATCGATGTTTGTTTTAACTCAACTCTGTGCCTCATAAATAAGAGAAGTGTTAACAACACTTTGCCCAGGTAGAAATAATTTACCGTAGAGCCGATTCAATAGGAAATTGGCATTTCTAAAACACTTTAATGGATAATAATTAACCAGTACTGAATGAGTTTTGATTTCGCGACCACTGGATTAACAGATTTGAAGGTTGACTGCCACCACAAAACCTAATTCATAACATATCTTCTGAACGTTTTGCACACCCTCTGTCTGGTTAGTCTTAAGGAATACCAAGAAGCAAAAGGTCTTCGAATTTCATTCACTCCATACTTTCATATTAGAACCTCCCGAAGCCATTTTTGCCATCTACGGCTAGTACTTCATCTAGTTAGCCTATTTAATTAACACAATGCACGGTCTTAGACATCAATCCCTAAAAAACACCATATTTGTCTGTTACCTGGTTTAATAGACTGGTTACGATAATGGTCAGCTCATTTAAGTTCTACATAGATCAAAAAGAGTATGTTGTCAAAATGGTTTCGCGATTGCGAAGCCAAGGAAAATGAGTGTTTCCTTCAAGACGCAGCTCTAAAAAACTTCCCTATCAAAAGAATCATTTTCGAGACCAAAAAAGTCGGAGAAAACACTTCTCTTATGAGAATATCCCATCGTTGATGCTTAATATATAAATACCCCGATGATAAGTACGATGAAGTAACAAAGGAAATAAAAACGTCATTATAAGCACATCCGAATAGATAACAAATTACTCTTCGTCAATTTTTAGCAAACAGGTAATTCTGCACATCAGTCATCGCACTTAACAAGCTCACATAGAATTCATTACACTTACGTGAAGAAGCTTTGACGGTCAACCGTCCATTTCCAAAGTGCTAGAGCAGCTGCCTTTGTGTCACATCGGAAGGTAACGACTCGGGGTTTAGCCTAAAGGAAGAAAATATATTCATGCAAGTGGTACTATAACAGAGAAGTGTTAACCGAATGAGACAAGACAAAACACCCATGCGAGAGTAAATGATGTGAGTTAACGTGGATTAGAACGAGAGACGGCAAGCCAGTGACAACACCACTACATTATTACTAATGCTAATTCAGCGACTACAGTTCACTGAGCGAGGTGAGAAATTGAGGCACGTGCGCACACAATGTACCGGTTTATCGTGGGATTTTGGTGGTGTTTGCTGTTTTTTCACCTTCTTTTTCTTCTTCGATTTGCTCAATTTTTCATCTCCAGCTGCCCCCTTTGGTCCTCCTTCCTCCACTGATTCAAGGTTTGATGATTCAAGTTGCTGCTGTTCTTGAATAGGCTTGTCATTGGCTGTTTCATCGGATTCCTAGTAAAAACATTTGTGGAAACAAAGATAACCTAACGTCTTCGTAATGTGCTTTAGTCTTCTTAGTCCCGCCCTATTCCATGGCGTTGCCATAGCTATAAGCAGAAACCCCTAGGGTGGAAATTACCTAAAGCAGTGCACGTTTCTCAGTGAGTGAAATATGACCAACCATAATAAACTATACGCCCTTTTAAGGGTACCTATGCCTGTTCTTATGCCTTCTGTTACCAATAATCGACCAGTATACTCTAATGGTTAAGAAGGATAATTAAAATAAATACTAAACAAGGAAAGGGGGTGTGGGTTAAAATATACTTATAAAACTGTCTCCCAATATCACGACTTAAAAGTGTTCGCATACTAGACTACCCTTCAGGGAGCTTATTACATTATTATTAGGCAGGTGCCAAAAGTATTCGAAAACGTGAACCAACACGATCTACTTGTAAGAGCCCACATAACTAGCTCAAACAGGTAGTGAACCGGGATTCTAAGAAGATGAGTCAGCTAGAACTATATGTTAGGGCGTTAACATAATCAAGATTATGCTTACAAAGAACTGGAACGTACTTGTGCATGTGAGTGAGCCAGTGACCATCTAACACGTTCATGCAAACGCAAGCACACAAATATGAGAACAAGTTTCAGTGCGTGTGTAGAGTAGGCACTGCAACACTCATGCAAATTCATATACTCTGAGAGATCAAGGGGTATTACTGGTATTAACTAAAAGTAAGAATTACTCACCGTTAGACCTGAAGGCTTCACGTAGACGATAAAGTCCTTTCCATCGCAGGCGAGGCGTTCAATACTGCCCCTTAAACATAAGAGAGGGGAAATATATGAATAAATTAAAGCTACAGTTGATAGAGGAATACACAGGCTAGGGCAAGTGCATTATTAGAGACTCCTTAGGGGTAATATATTGTAAATCAACAAAGGCTACTTATACAGTTATAGAAAACAAAAAACCCAAGCATCCAGTGACTACCACCACATGATTGGCCTTTTAATTTTGCATCATCATTGATTAGAATGATTCGTTCCCATAAGAAGATAATGATGTGGCAAATTGGAGTGAGGGAGGACAAAATGTGTGGCATTTAGCTTCATATTACACCTTCTAAGACACCTAGTAACCTGGCTACATAGCCTTCTCGCCCTTCTTTCAATAAGTGGAGGTGATTCAGTTATAAATGGGAAAATGTGGATTATTTTGAAGCTGTGTACCAACCGGAAATACGCAAACAAACGCAAATATCAACATCAAGTCACCAAAAATCTCGAATAAGATTGGGGAAAGGCTTAAGAACAACCGAAAAAAGCCAAGCAATAGCCAGCCAGTGAGGGAGCGTTAAGACAAGATACAAAACAGAGCACGAAATCAAACAAGGAGCACTGTTCTCAGATAGGGAACAGGATGCACGAGTTGGTTAGTCGTGGCTATGATGGTGCTTGAGACACACAAACGAACACAGGGGGTCTCAAAACAACCCAAGAAGGGAGTGGAGACTATGAGGAAAGGGGATAGGACAAGGTATAGGCAGATGAATTCGGTCTTACCAAGAATAGTTCTGCGTATATTTGGGTCCGATGTAGAGTTGTGATCCGGATTTGCTAATAATAAAAGACACCCAAAGCAAATAGAACAGGAAGATTGCGATTTGTTGGTACATTTTGGGGGAGAACAAGCGCGACAAACATTAAGGAGTAAAACTCGGGTCGTCGTGCCAAAAATGACCATGCAAAATCTTCAACCTCCCCTCCCCTTTACACCTTCTCAGAAAATCGATTAATAGGGCTGTGAGGGACAGTTCTTGTAAAATGGTGATACAATTGAGGCTGAGTTTTTACATATTTTTCCTCATATAAAAACGTGTCTCATAAGACATACTAAATCTCATGTGAGAGGTAGTATGTACAGAAGGGAGCATTAGAGCATAGAAGGGCATGCAACACCAAAGTACAACATGTAGTGCGTATGATGTCAATGAGAAATTTTAAGGTGGGCAAATGAGAGGATGAAGTAATGATAAGGATAACCGATTTAGAAAAGAGGAATAATGCGTACCATTCAAAGGTCTCACTGGGTTGAAGCCCGACGTAGGTTGTGAGTCCAGTATGCCTCAAACCAAGATAGACGGAGGCCGCTGGGCTAGGTGGAGCCGTGTTCAGCGATTGAGTGTCTGGCACTTTATTATCTACGATAGCATTGCTTGCAGAATCTCCAATTTTGGGGGCAACTGAATCAGCTTTCTTTGGAACTTTCTCTTTAGTTATTATCTAAATTTAGGATGAACGAAGTGACGGAAAAGCAAACTACCTTAACAGGGAAAGGATCGACTCCATAGGTGGGTAATTGTGAAGCCATTTTGATAACTTCAACTTCCGCATCCCTGGCGGTGAGACCACTGAAAAAAGCAAAATGTCAGACGTGGCAATGCAACAAAAATGCATTACGAACAACCAATTGCACAATTTTTCTCACCGATAAATCTTGTGACGAGCGATTATCTCAGATTCAATCTTTTTGGTTTGATTAAAGACAATTTTGAAATTTTTAAAGTAAGATTTGTATTCCTCATCAGAGATCGACCCATTCAATTCACCTGAACCTTCATCTTCTGGGGCATCGCCGTATTCAGCTGAAAATTGGTACGAAAAAGAACTTACATAAACAATTGTTTTCACTATACTTAAAGGCTAAAAATTTCCTTACATTGCAAAATTAAAGCTCCCATTGTATAAAGTTCATTGAGCGGGCAAAGTAAACGACCTTGTACCAAGTCTCGACGAAGTTGCAAGTAAAGAAGGTACCTACATGGTTAAAAATAAATTAACAACGCATAGAATTTGCGTCAGCTATTAAGCAAAACAACACATATTCTTGAAATTTGTAAAATACTAAGGAACACTTGAAAAATAAATTGAGACGGTTGACTTACAGAGATATTTCTTGATGAAAATCAACAATAGGGTTCCCAGGATAGTGCTTAACACGAAAGCTCAGTGCAGATGAAAGTGCTCCAGACATCTGTTTCTTGACATTTCGACCAAGATCAAGCCATTGCTACATGGAGTAACATCATTTTATAAAAAATTACTCGTTGGTTGTTTTTATCCATATAACGAAGACCAAAATAGTCTCGTTCTACTATTCCTCCAAGTACATCACACACTTTGTTAAAGAGAACTTGTCCATCAGCATTTTTCTAAAAACGACAAAATAAATATATAACTAGCTTTTTTACCGAAATGAATATTTCCAGCGCTTTTTGTTCACTGTCTAACAGTCTAATTTTGTAAGGTATGAGGTCCGAACTCTTTTTGGGAGTTGAAGGTGAATTGGGCTTGCTAGATTTTGGCGAACTTAATGACTTCTTTGAGTTAAGAGTAGTTTTCGCAGCTTCTTCATTGGCATTTTTAGATTTAGCCATTATTTTTTAAATGCCGAAGTAATAAAAAGCCAAGTAGGAAACCGACACAGACACAACCACGAGAAAAACAAAATTCCGATTTGTCTAACTTCGCGTTTATCACCACCTTATCTGACTAGCTTAAACAAAAATACTGTTAATGGATATACTTTATAAATTGATAGATATGTGGGAGTCGCTATATATAAAATAATCACATTAAAGTTAATTTATGCATTTTTATATATTAGCTTACTAAATGCATGAATTTATTTAAGCTTCTACAAATTAATTGAATAGTATATTATTATTTTAAATGGCAGGCTTTGTGATATTTATCATTAACCCTAATTAATTGAATATTTATTCGTTCGTAATTAGTAGCTAGTTGCCGTTCATATACATGTTACGTTTGTGCTATTAAATGTGTAAGACATCTGAATGTGATATAACTTTGAATATTTGATGATGAGTTCTTCTGAGAGTTTCTTACTGTAGTAATAAACATTCTAACCCCAATATTTCATCATGGCTCTGCTTAAATCAACTCAGAACTTGTATCATAAGTTGGCTACCTACCGCATTTCTAAATCAACTAACATAAAATCATGGCTCTTTCCCTATTTCAGTTGTTTTAATCAAAACGAGATATTTTCACGTATACATATATATTATACTCCGCTTCAAATTCCTGAATAAACAATGATAATAAATTCTTAGTTTGGGAAACATATGCGTTATCCTATATTAAACTGTTTATGTAATCTTAGTGAATAATCTGCCCCTGCAAATATTGCTAACTGTTTCTATTTAATCATTCACAATCTATTTTTAAGTAGTTTTGGCGTTTGCTGTTACTCAATTTTGTTTGTTTTTCAAAGCTTTTCAGTAATAAGCTTTTTAAATTATATATACCGTTAAGGGGTGTTTTAATGCAAAATATTAATTGAATCTCAATCTTCACTTAGGACGTTAGGATTTTTTAACATCCGCAATATGCTATGTTATTCCTTGATTTATAACTTCCATACCTTTTTCGATACTTTAATCTACTTAGTGTTCGTATTTACATAGTTATCATATTAAAACGGGCAACGATTGCCAATTTTGAAATCTCTTATAAATAATAATTGAAAATATTTGAAATAATGTTACCTCAAATAAACTATGGGTGACAATACTTCCAAGATTCGTTTTCTGTTAAATATTCGGGACTTTAATTTCAGATGCAATCTTTGAAAGCATGTTTAATTTGTGTATTTTCATTTTACACCTTTTTACTTATTAGTAACTACTTATACGTTTCTGGAAAAATTGCTATCAATTCTATATCTCAAATATAAGCAAAAATCTCTGAGTTAATTACTTGCAGTCATCTATCATTCAGTTTACTAGTATTGGTGAAAACAACTATTTAATTAGCGTTAAATTAGCTAATTATTTCTACCAACAAATTACTATTACTACGAGCAATTTAAAACTAGGATCAAAGTGCAATAGCATTAATTTGATTTGCCAGCATTGATATTGCTCTAACCTTGCTTGCTAGGTTTTGGTTTCTGTGACTTTGACACATTTTAGCAAAAACATTTGCACACTCTTCCTGTTAGTATCTTTCAGGAGTTATAAAGACAGGGTTCAAAAATGGGAAAGAAATTTAGTAATAAATATAGCGTCGATGTGCATCGGGAAACTATTACTAGTTATATCAATGATTGAGTATTAGTAAAACAGGAATAGGCGGACAATTGTTTAAAGCTCCCTCTATACTTTTATTTTACTTAAGCTTTTAGTTTCTACCATGTACTCCAGCGCTTAACCGCTTTATAGATTGTTCTAAAATATTATTAAATCTACATTTGCTAACGTTTGAAAACTACCACAATTTGTCAAAATGTTTGCTTCTTGCTGTTTTCCCCTTTCATTGAGAGCTTTTGTCTCTTTTAAAGGATTGCGCACCCTTCGCATTCATCTACGTTTGAACTTATTATCAATTACGTAACTCCCCTATGACTATAACTGATGACACACACCGTCGTATTCACTTGCAACTCTCTCTTTTTCCTCACTTGTGGTAGTAGAGTTCGTAAATTTAGAAATTGCTATGAATAATAAAAAAAATTGGGTTTAACTGCAATGTATGTTCTTTCAATAGCTCATGCGACATCCTTTTAACTAGAATATTCGCTGTATATTGCTTTCGGATTGCCAAGTTCACTGACAAAATGGTTTAAAGTGCTTAAATTAAGAAGAGAGTCTCGAACGTAATGCGATCAAGTGACCATTGTGGCTGCTTCATAACGACACTTTATTTAAGAGCCAATGATAGATGCAGAAAGAGTGATGCCTCGTATGATTCAGAACGCAAACAAAGTTAAATAACAGTCAAAAACATCTAGAAATTTGTAAACTGATATTTCATATCTATATGGTTCAGTTCAATATCTACTCTTAGAAACATTCATTTATATTAAATTCTGCAGGCATAATTAGTTATTAACGTTCATTCAAATTATGCTAGATGTATATGTTAAATAATCACGTTTGCTGATATCATAATGTCAACAAGCGCTTCAGTCGCAAAACGTCTTACTCCTCTGTGTCATTGCGATTGTTCAAGTCGGGAGCCTGTCTAACTAGGAGAATCTGCCATTGGGATTTCCGAATAAAGTAAAGGTTCATTAGTAAAACAATCCGCTGCACCACAAAGCCTCTTTCAGCGATATTTAGAAATTCCCATAATCATTATAATTTAGGAAATATTACTCTTTTATTACGTTGAGCCGATATTTTATCATTTTATAAAATAAAATATGGTACTAAAATAAAAGTTTAAACTTCCAAAACATGATGAATATATATGTATGTCCCATGACATGATCACCTCTTTAAGTTGAAATTTTCTTTAATTTATTACTCTAGCTAAAAGTTTTTAAATTCTGAACCTTACCACTTGAAACAATTTCATCAGGTACATTCCTATAAACTTTTTCTCCATAGAGGATGAAATTTTCAAGCCAAACTTCATTCTTGCATTGAATTTCGACTTTCCCTATTTGTCGCCGTATATTTGGCAAGAATTGTGGTACGTGTGGTCCATCAGAAGTATGGGACACGTTATCGCTGTGTGCGTCATCGTATGCCTGCATGTCTGCTCGCTAGGATTGGGAGGTGCGGCCGTACAACTCTGTGTGCAGCGACCGTACTAACAGTGACCAATCATCAACCTCTGTTTAACCTAATCCCCCATCCTGATCATGAGTAGCTTCCTGCGTGTACACCTTATCGCAGTATACTCCCCGAATAAATTGTGTGTACACACTTGATCCGCAATATACGTCCTGAATAAGCGGGTACACTTGATCCGCAATATACGTCCTGAATAAACGTGACTTGATCCGCAAGATACGTCCTGAATAAACGTGCTCCGTGCACACTTTTCTGATCATTACGTGACTGAATATACGTGTTCCGAATTATCGTCTGTTTCCTTTATAGCTGGGCTATAGCTTAGCTAGTTTCGGTCTGTTTCCTTTATAGCTGGGCTATAGCTTAGCTGGTTCGTAATATGCTCACTGAATAGACGTGCTCCGTGCTACACGTCTGATACCCGTACTGAAAAAACGTGCTCCGTGCTACACGTCTGAATCCGTACTGAATAAGCGTGCTCCGTGCTACACGTCTGTTTTCCCGTATCGAATAAACGTATTCCTTGCTACACGTCTGTTTTCCGCTACTGAATAAATGTTCCGTGCTACACGTCTGTATCCTCTGTAGAATAAACGTGCTCCGTGCTAAACATCTGTTTCCTTTATATGCAATATACGTACCGAATAAACGCATTTCGTGCTACACGTCTGTTTCCTTTATACCTGGGCTATAGCTTAGCTGGTTCTGGGAGTCTAGCTAGATGTAGGACGATCTACCATAGAGAATTCTGAGTCGTCAGGCTTTAATAAAGTAGCAATCCGCTACAGAAGTATTAAATGGTTTGACACGATTACGATGTGATGGTCTTTGCAATACATTGATTATTTGTTTAAATGCCTCTAAAACCCATTTTGGGAAACCTTTCCCAAAGTTTACCATATTTATAACAATCTTTATTTCTGACACTTGTTCTACTAACCAGATTTTACAAGTGTTGTTGGTCACTCTAGTCACTGGATGTGCATTAAATGTATCCAATTAGTGGCATCCAACTCTGCAGATGAGTAAGTTGGTCACTACTTCAATAGCGAATAAATCAATAGGTATTTAATCAATCACCTGATTCGTCTAATTAATTTCATACAATCATTAGATAGGGTCAAGAAATATTATGGCAAAGGTATTTAACAATGTTTTATTGATTTTCTGATTCTTTTCAGATTTTAAGATATTGGTAGAAAGTACTTAACTAACTTTAACAAACTTGAATTCTTTTATTTAGTTGTACCTGTGAATGTTCAATCATTATCTAACTCATCAAAGGGAATTCCAGCTTATAGCACTCAATTTTGTACGTTACATATATGGTCTACAGACTTTATCGATATATTCATTAATTTGGAAATACAATATCGTCAATCATCGCCCACTTTGACTTTGCACAGATATTTGGTCTCTTTAATCCTTACCAAATTCGTCCTTTTTCCCTTTAGCGTTGCACTATAATTTTTTCCACCTTAGAACGGAAAGCAGACATGCTGATACATTTCATTCCTATATTTTGAATAAAGGTATTGTGTTGTCTACATTCAGGTAAAGAATGAGAAAGGTGCTTCGTTTTCCAATAAAAAGGCTATAGCTATGGAAGATATTTGAGGTAAATTCAATTAATATTAAGGTATTTACTGTATCTAACGTTAAACTGATAAATCGGGACTAAGCCTCAGTAATCTCTGTGGCAAAATCGCCTAGTCTGAAATTACCGAAAAATTGACAAAATTACCTCAACAATATTGAGGAAACGGGGTGTGCGATAGGTTTACCTCCACGTGGTGCACCCTGGGCAACGTATACTCATACGTCAAAAAAGT